GAGATGAAATGTGGAATCCCAGCTCAGTGAGAATCCACGGGGAGTGATCACAACCAAGAATTTCACCCAACACATCAGTCCTGCTCATGGAGGAATGAATAGGCTTTGGGATGTAATTTCTAGGATTTTGGGATGACCTGAATCAGCTAAGTACAAAGGGTTAAAAATAACTATTTAGATTCTTGTCTAAGAAGAAATGTATATTATCTCTATATCTTCTATAGGAAGAAATGTATATTATCTCTAATGAACCGTAGGTCTCCTGAAGATAAAATTTAAGAGCTTAACATTTCAGTGTCACTGAATTTCCTTTCTGTGGAACATGAAACTGTGGCTAGGCAGTTGGAGAAGAAAACACAATCTTGCTTCCTTTCCATATTCATGATAATACTTGTCATAATAATTTAGTTTTGTTTCAGTAACAGGAATGTTGGTGTTTTTCCATTTCCCCAATGCATTTCCATTTTCACACTTCCCCATCTAATATTAAATATATTGGAAACGGTGCCAAAATATTCAACCACATTGAAAAAGCAGAGCAGAAATAAAATTACAGTCACAGATTTCATATCACTCCTTTTTCTAAATTAATAAATATTTCATTTTCTTATCTAGAGAAGCAGCAATGAACTTCCACTCCCAAATATGAGAATCTGGCAAGGTAAACTTAAAAACACGGTTTAGCAAATAGATTATCCTGAAAATGACACCATGATTATTACAAGCAGCAATCATTCCCACAAGAAAGAAGAACAATCAGATTTTTGTCACATGATCCTACCATTAAAACGTCTCCAGAGTGAAAGATTTAACAGATAATTTCAGGTCACCTTGCCAATGAAATCACAGGGAGATTGGAACTCTGGGTCACTGATTCTAGACAGAGGTGTGGCAGAGCCACTCTCCTAATCGTGATTAGGCTTTCCCCCCCCCTTCCTGTTCCAAAACTCACATTCTCATCTCTGCTGCTGTATAGCAAAGACCATAGTGACACTTGCTGGTGCAGCAAGGAGTCTGAAACAAAATGCTAAAGGAGGCAGAGCCAACTGCAGTTGTTTTTTTTATTCATATCTTCCCTTGGGGATAAATGCTCTGAGGATTCTGTTTCCCGCTTGGCAGACCAGGAGATGTACAACACTGAGGGGCAATTATTCTGCTCCTGATCTCGCAGTGTAAGCACTGAACCAGCAGCCTTGGCTATCACAGGAGCAGTGTGCCACTCTGTGAAACTTAGTTGAGCCAATCTTCTCTTTCTTCCCCTTGTTTTAAAAGATATCTGAAGAAAAACAGTACTCCAATACCTACTCCCCCCCCTTTGCCCTCCACCTCCCTTACCTGTCTCCTTAAATGCCCCCTGTACTCCTTAAATACCCCTGGGTTGCAATAACCTCTCCTTTCAAGGAGAAGGGACTGGAGAAGTGTCTGTCCCCCTGTGCCTGGTATTTATGGAGCACCTCAGTCCTGCTTTCAGAAGAGCAGTGCCTGGCACTGATCCTGCAAGGAGAGCCAGAACCTCAGGATGTGCTTCCAGCCATGGGAGCTCGAGCAGTGCCTTGGACTCCTTGTCCTCCACTGCAAAGGGCAGTAGGAGACATGAATCTGATTTATTTGAGGGAGGGACAAGTGGTTCTGCAGTCATATTAAAAGCTAGAGATACTCCATGGGGTTATAACCCCTTACAGCATCTTCCCTCCAATCCACATCCAAAATAGGAGTGAAATCTCTCTTTAAGAGAGGTTCTAGTGCATGTTCACTTAGCTGAGGAGGATTATTGGACCCTCAGCTCTCTCACTTGATACTTGGAAACTAAAGGAGATTTTCCTTGCAGGCTGTGACAACAGGAACAAAGAAAAACCTCCAAATGAACAACAAAGCAACACTTCTACCATTTTTTGATTATACTCACAGACAATTCTCCTTCACAGGTAACTGAATATTTCAGATGGTGATTTCATTAATTTTTTGTCCTGATAGAGGCAGTGTGGTTGCTTTCACCTGAGGTTGAATTCACTGTTACTGCAGAGGCACCTGGAAGCACCTGACCTCCCAGGTTCTTAATATTTAGGGTGTAAAAGGCTGAGAAAAAAAAGAAGCAAGGTACAGCAAGTACATGGGGGTCAGCTTGGATTTACACCTTGTTCCCATCATAAAAAGAACTTCAGAGAAAATTTTGGTTTTAGTCCTCAGTTGTTCAACATCTTCCAAAGGAGAAAGTCTTTTACTTCCCTTTCCACTTATTTTCTTACGACCTTTCCACATTTTTAACCTGTTCTAAGGAGCCAGGAGTACCATTCCCAACCATACAGTTTTTCACAGGTGACAGAGAGGGGAAATAAAGGGCTGCACCTCCTCCTCTACAGCACATTTCAGCAACATCTACAGCATGTTATGTGATTCAACTGAATGAGATTTTCTGCTTGCTCCTTGCCCTTTCATTCCTCTCCTATTGTCCATAAATCACATTTTCCTCTCAGTGTCTCCATTTCATCATTTACCTTGTCCATTTAGACTGCAAGTATCTCAAAACAGAGCTTTCTCTTAGACATCCTAAGTTACATACAATAGTATTGGGGAATTCTGGGAAAGATCTTATAGAGGTATTTCCAACCCTCAGGTCCTTCCAGCAGTGGAGCAATTCCACCTACATGTTTTTACAACTCAGTAAGCCAAGTTGTGTGAATAACTTGTTTTGGTTTGGTTTCATACTTCCCTGCCTGAACAGATACACTGCAAAAATCCATCACTCTTCCCATTAAAAAATGTCCTGGTAAGACCTTAACCAGTTTTAAAATATTCAGATTCATCTGGACAAAATAGTAAAAAAAGTTGTTTAAAAATATGAACACATATATAAATCTGGTTCCTATCAAAACTTTCAAAATGAAAATTATTTGTCTTGATGAATCTTTTAGCTGAGGCAATTTGACAAACTCAACATGAACGAATAAACTGTGTCAATCAAAGGCAATGTGAATTTACATTGAAAAACTTCCATCCTGAGATTATTGACCAGTCCCAGCTGTAACACTTGCACTATGGATCAATCCTAATTTTTGAATTGGTAACCAGACAACATTTTGGTGTTTAGTCACTCAGTCTTGCCTTGGTACAAACAACTGGTGTGTGCTGAGCAGAGGGTGCAGTGATCCCTCTGCTAAGTTTGCTTTGTTTTCCTACAGCTCAGGCACTGTTTGACTTCCATCCCTGGAGTAATTAGGGATATCCTGGTCTCCTATATGAACTCACCTCTCTCCTTTCAAGCTTCCATGTACATTGAAGAAGATCCTTTTGGAGAGAGCTTGGAGAGTTTCTTTGGAAGCAAAATACACAGTTATGAGGCGTATGGAGGTCAGTGTGTGTGTGACAAGGCACAGCAAACCCCAGTCCCTGCTCCAGGACCTGCAGGGTTGAGGGGGCTGTCAGGGCTGATCCCTCTGCCAGCTCTGTGGCCATTCAACTCACACTGTGTGCTGCTCCAAAGGAGTCTAGTGCACCAAACAAATTCCAGGTAGAACAAATGGCAGGATGCAATGGACCCAGGCCACTGCAGCTGAGGCACAAATATTCCCAAACAAAGCCAAGAGTTCCCGTCAGGAGCAGTGTTCCCATTTGTACCAGGAGAAGATTTTAAAGTACAACAAGACACCATACCAAAAGGTTAGATATTGCAAAGAAATTCGGAATTTGGAAGTAGGTTACAATCAAAAGTTTTGAAAAAAACTGGAGAATCCCTAGTGGTATTCTTTCATGGATGTTCAGAGGGAAAAATGATTAAATCTTCTATCAAGGAACTAGAAAAAGGGAAAATAAATACAGGGGATAACAAGGGTCAAAAATGTCATCTTCAAGGCTACTAGAACTAGGATAGGGGAAAAAAATTCCTCTTGAGCAGTTGGAGGCTCTGGTATTATCCATTTTTTAAGCTACTTGGCCTGCAAGCGAATATACTATTAAAACCCCCCAACTTTGTGGCAATGTTAAAATATTTCAGCTGGGAAAACTCATAATATCCCAAGAGCAGGAGCAAGTGTTAGTCTTAAATTCCTCTACAAAAGAAACACAGAGTGGCAGACTTAAATAACTGCATGCAATGAAAGAAGGAGAAAAAATGATACTTCACCAAAAAAAAGAAACCAAACCAGGCTGCAGATACTACCATTTTTCTTCCGGGAAAAGCATAAAATAAAGAAAGCCTGAGCTGCTGCTTAGGTGATACTTCAGAAATGCAAGTGGAGTCCCTGTAGAATTTCTCAAGTTGCTGTCAATTTATTCCAAAGAAATACAACTTAGCAAAAGCCATCAACACAACAAGCCGCTATTCAAACACTCCAGTGTTTTTATCTCACTGCTTTAAACACAATCCTAAGGAGAATCTCTGTTTGCTGTGGTTCAGGATGACTGATCTTGACTCTTTTTTAAACAATCAAACCTGGATAGACACAATATTGTGCAAAGTCTTACCGCACAGTGTCCTTGCATGGGGCACTCCAGCCCAGCAGCCATGTTCTGGAAACTGCTGCTTCCCCAAGTCTGAAGCATCAGCCCTGACTTACCCATGAACATTCATTTATAAAACAAAAATGTGTTTCTGGCACCTTTTGAGGCCCAAATCACTTATATCCCAGGTCTTAAGAGGCACAGAATTGTGCTTGGAAGCACGATTTGTATTTTTTTAAGGATCATATGGTCTCGTAGGGGCAAGTGTTAGAGGGAAGTGGTCTGTGTCCACTGTCCTTGGTCTGTAAGTTCATCACAACTGGCACCTGAACCAGAAGCTTAAAGATGGCAGCACCTGAAAACATGGGCACCACAGGGAGCCCTGCAGGTGCTGTAGCAGGATCTGCTCGTTCCCCTGCACGATGCCAAGGGGCTGCTGAGCTGTGACATTCTGATAGAGTGGTAGGACTTGTAACAGAGGAAAAATGTCCCTCTCAGCCACAAGGGTAGATTAAGAATTAAATGCTTAAAAACAAAGGAGAGAAAGCAGCTTTATAACTCACCAGAATGACATATCTCCTTGCTTCCTCTCTCGCCACCAGAGATGACATCTGTCACCACTGCCCTTGTTCAGGAGAATGAGACATTCAAGAAGGCATCTGAAGCCTGGAAAATGAAGAAACTCATGAGAGCAAGAAATTAATGGAGAACAAAATGCCTGTGTTGGGGTTAGCAAGCCTTTTCCTTTCTATATGGGACATACAGGACATAGGGAATCTCTCTCCCTTTAAGTCTATAATTATGGCTGTATTTTCATTCATGGTCCCACCAAAAACACTGAAGCCCAAAGCCTTAGGATGGATACAGTCTGTAGTCCTTTCCTGCTTGTAATACTTAGAAATACAGACTTCTACCAAAACCAGAAAAGGAACCTTTCCTTGCAAAAGACAAACACTGATCTTGGGATTACATATTAGGGAATTTAGAACAAATTATGTTCTCAGTATAATGACACTGAGGTTGCAGAGAGCATGAATAGAGGTGAATTTGATGTTAAGAGTTTAAATAATTTGCTCAAGGACACAATGCAGTTCACTGTGTGCCCTGAGATTAGAAGCCAGGAGCTATTAAATTCTCTCTTGTTCCCAGACTGTTAGACTAGGGGATAAAGCTCCCTGCAGAGAGGAATATTTAAAGAAAAAAGAAAAAAATAATGAAGAAGAAGACTTATTCACTCAGTACAAGCCCTAGAGTAAAACCACACAGGTGATATTACCAGTGCTTCCTGTCCCTCATGTATATTCTCCTCAACGTCCTCTGACTGAGAGAAGTAGAAGAAATGGCAATTTCCCAAGAGCCATCTGCCCAAAACTGAGGATTATACCTTCTGGGGCTTGGGAGAAGGGGACTTAAGGGTGGCTCTACAACCCTAAATATGAGAAATAACTTCACTCCCTGCACCTGTGACATTCTAGTGAGCAGTCCCCATCAGCAGGTGGTGTTAGACTCCCCGAGAGCTTGACAAAGGCAATAGCAAAAAAGGGTTCTTCTTTCCAGTCATTAGAACACAGAAAAGAGACCACCAAATCCTACAGTTCTCCAGCCTCCCACATGCCAGGGATGGGAGGAGGAAGACTGTGACACCTTCCAGGCTTGTCCTTTATTAATACATTGAGCTGTCAACACTTTGGAGCAAATACTCCCCAGATTTTCCCCAGCCTTTGACTGCATCATGAGTTGCTGTTGTAATGCTCTCCTTCTCCTTTTTTTTTTTTTTTGAAAAGCTTTCTGTGAGCTCCATGGGCACCAGGAAAGGACTCACCATCCCCCAGCACCCTCAGGATGGCCACTTGTCCTGCCTTCCTTGTGCCTTCCCACTGCCTCCAGCCCTCACGTGAAACACTCTGCCTGTAACACACTTCCCAAGCACCGGGGATCCAGAGGGATTCACTTTGGGGCAGATGCTTTGCAATGAGATGGACACCCCAAATGCAGCCCAAGGGAAGGAAAAAACAACAGTAAATCCCATCTGGAGCTGCCTTTCCTCCATGCAGCCCAGTAGCACCAAGAATATCACAAAGCAAGCAGTGACTGCCATAGGGAGGAGCACCAGTGTTCCAGGAATTGGCCTTGTTTACATGGATTAAAGACCAGTATTTCTTATCATACTGAAATTCTACCTCAACATGAAACCTTTCAGAATGAGGACAAGCTTTTTACTATATTTGAGTAATTCTTACTGAGCCACAGTGCAAGTTTGGCCATTTATTGGGTCCCCACTATACCACAGTGCAGTATAATAAAGTATTGATTATTCATTCAGTTTTCTCATAATTATATTCCCCAATGCTTGAACACTGGCAACTGCAAATGACAGATGTGTGAGAGCACTAAAACATAAATACAAATAAAATTTGAGATTATATCAGCAAGTGTAAGATGGCAACACATTTCAGGACTAGGTTGATCAATGACTGTGAAAGGGAGGAGGTTTTATTCAGGCTATAACACTAAATATCCTTCCACACCTTTCCCCACCTGCCATTCATTACCACAACACCTCTTACTACAGCACCTGATTACTCTGCAGATCTTCTTGGTCATGTCTGTGCAGAACTAAAGACAGATGTTGCATTAGATCCTCTGCTGCTGGAATGAGGATCCTGTAGTTTGTCTCTTTTCAAACAACAGGGTTGGATCTGCCCTGTTCTGAGTTGAGCATTTCACTTGCTCACACCAGCAGTGTGGAAATCAGACTGGATGGACTCATAGTTTGTTTGGTGTGTTAATGCCCAGGGTCCTACAAAAAACCCCACAATTTTCCCTTTCAAATGGGCTTTCTGAGAAATTATTAGGCTCGTGTGTATTCATTAAATAAGCCCATGATCAAGTTAATGTTATTATTAGCTTTTAACCATGCAAACCCAGTCCAAATAAAACTGGGATCTACAATGGTATGATCACATCGACTCTCACCTGGTCATTTATTCTGCCATAAAATGACAATAAAAACCACTGACTGTGCTTGGAGCTTGTCTACCTTCCTAATAAAACATTGGCCTCAGTTCTTTGGATTATTTTTTTATTTTTTTGCTGACAAATGAGGAACAGCTGATCAACAAATGTATTGCTCTTTTTACAGCAGACCCTTTTCTTTTTTCCATACTGTAATGATTGAGAGCAGAACACCCAAAGTCTGTCAAAATAAAATTTCTTTGGAACAAAGCCACAAAAAGATAAAATGAAGTTGTCACCGAAAATTAATTAACACAAAGCAGTGATTGGTAGGAGGAATAAATACTTAGACCTAAAAATACCAGTGCAACAGCGTGCTGAAAGGTTATTTTTAGTCCTACTTCTAACAAGAATATCTCAGTATGTTTAATAATAGCAAATTGGATCTCCAGGGCAAGATATTGAGAAAAAGTGTTTACAGCAAGCACTTCCAGATCTCAAAAACCTACCTTAAAAGATTTTTAAGTTGTTATTAAGCTTTGGCTGGCTTCTAAAGAAACGGCTTTAAAATATTTTTTCCATTATATACTTTCATTATTTGTTATAGCAAGTGAGGTTTCTGTGTAACCAAAAATCATTACAGCACGGGCACTTTCAATGTCTGAGTCTCCACAAAAGCCAGTTTTCTGGAATGTAAGTGTGAAACCAGCACACACACAAATTGTTTCTCATCTAAGGAAAAGAATGTATTTTTAAACTAATTCAGAGTCCAATTAAAAATCGTTCATCTTTCTTTTGTAATAAATAGCTCCTTAAGAGCAACTAGACGGCAAGAATTAAATCTTCTGGGCTGCTTTTAAAAATCTATATCCAATTCTCAAAAATCTATATCCAATTCTATATACATTAGGTCACTGGAGCCTTGTCCTGGTTTAACCAGACAGAGGCAAAAGTCTCATCTGCTGAGCTATAAGAGCTTTTAACTTTCTCTCTTTGGGAATTGGATGAAGCTGGATATACTTTCAAGGTTCTTAATATATCCCTTTGGATATATTAAGGTAACAAAACCAAAGCTGTCCCCAGTGAAGTTCCCCCCTCTGCAGGAACTGTGTGTTCATGTCCTCTGAGAACTTCCAAAATGGAGAGAAAAAACATCTCTGTACCTCTAAATAAATACACATGAATTCTTCCAACTGTATCCCGAGGGTGAGGATGTCACTCCAGTCCAGTGTGACTTGGGGAACTGAACCCAAGGCCCTTGGGGGATTTTGGGGGTTTTGCTGCCATAATCTCATCTGAATTCACCTAGAAGATGTCACACACTACCCAGGGAAGTGCTGAATTGTGTTGCTCCCAGAAAGGGCACTTTTTTTTATTAAAAAAAAAAAAAAGCTTCATGCAGTCTAAATATATGTGGCTGCTCAAGTGTATGGCCAAGTACTGGAAGATAAATGGATTTACACTGGTAGGAGTTACAAACATTCATTCAAATAAAACATCCTTGTTTGTTCACTGCAGACCAACAGGCTGAAGTGGACACATGAGTTAATTGAATAATTTTCTGTACAGAATTTTTTTTGTTTCTACACATAAACAGTGTTTATCAATGACTAAAATTATTATTTAATGTGAAGAACACATGTCAGAAAATTCATTAGTATTCAGAAAGAGACAGGCATGCTGGAGGCATTCTTTTCTAAGAACTTCTGAGAATATTAGACACCTTAGAACTAAAAAATAAGACATAAAGGTTCTCTGAAGGACAGTGAAATACTAGAAAGCAACATATTAAATATTGCCCAAGACCAGTAGGAGCAATGGGATATGGCCCTCAAAATATTATCTAACAACCTATAGATATAAATATTATCTATATGTGATAAATCTGAGATTTTCCTAAGAAGCCTCTTTTCCTAAGAGGAATATTTATATTATTGATCCAATATAGTGAAGGAAGATGATCATAAGATGCCTTGCATGTCTTCCAAAAACTGGAATCAGATCCTATAGCTGTCCTTTAACAAACAAAATATTTTGGCCCTTTTACTGATGGCACAGAGAAGTGAAATGAGCCACATTTCATATGATATGCCAGATATTCCCCCTGGTCAAAGGAAGATTTCAAAGCCAATTTATCAGAAGATGGACAAACTGAATGAAATAGCCTAATATTTGTAATTTGTAGATAAACACCATTTAAATTTGATTGACATCCTAGGAATTCTGGGGTTTTTTTGGTTGCTGTACTTCAATAACAGATATTTGGAGTACAGTCCCATGAAAAAATATTTTCTTCTCAGCACTTGCCCTCATGTTTCAGAGTCAGTGGTTGAACTGGTCAACACTTTTTGGATTTGAGGGCAAATCCAGCTTTTACTCTTGTGTCTTTGGACATTTTCTGAGGAAGAATTCACTGACCACATGTAAGAGGGTAAGTCAGTGAAAAACAGAGTAGAGCAGGACTGGCTGAAGGAAGAGACAGAGATCCATGGATTGTGAGGTCCCTCCAAGCTGCTCAAATTACTGCACAGTCACAGAGGACTGTTCCATTCAGGAGCACAAAACCTCCCCAGAAGGGTTCTGCAGTCTCTCCTCACTCTTACATCTGCAAACTGCAATGCCAGTGTGAAGCACTGGGTCATTTCTGAGCCGATTTTTAGCTCCAGCAGCTGTCACTGCATCAAACTGTTATGTGGGAATAATAAGTTCAG